GATGACGGAATCGGCGGTGGAGAAGTCGGAGGTGAGCGCGGAGAGACCCGAGGCGCGACCGCCGCACGCAGCGAACAAAGAGCTGGTCCGCGATGTAGAAGATGTTGTCCGGAACGGAGAGAGTTGTCGCCTACACAAGCAGGCGCGGGGCGTCAGAGTGGGGGAGGGGGTGGAGGGAGGGTCCTTTTGCCTCGTCCGGGGCGAAGCAGCACCTACGGGAAGGTTCCGAGAAAGTTCAAGGGCCCACCTTCTGGAAGGTTCCGGGAAGGTTCCGGGCAGGCCACGGTGTCGGTGCACACAGAGAGCGTGCGCGAGCTGCGCGCCTGCTCGAGGCCAGGTCCCTCTCGGCTCGCCCCGGGCTCTCCACCCCTACGAGCCTCATGAGCAGCGCGGGGTTGCCCGAGCATTCGAGGGATGGGATGAATGGGCAGCAGCCTGCGTCAAGACGATCAAGGGGAGGATGTTGACGACGACGATGAAGAAGAAGGTGACGTTGTTGATGATGATGTTGACGAGGGTGGGGATGAGGATGGTGACAAGGATGGTGATGAGGATGGTGATGAGGATGGGGGCGAGGATGCTGGTGAAGACGGTGACGATGACGGTGATGCTGACGACGGCGCGAGGACTTATCATGCTGATGCTTTGCGGTGATGGTGATGAAGGGCAGGGGGCGAGGCACCTCTCCGCTCGCGCGCCGAGTAGATCGTTCTCTCTCATCGAGTCGACGCACGCGAGCATTCCGAGGATGAACAAATATGCGAGTGGCGAAAGAGATGCTCGACTGGCCGCATCTGCTCATGCGATGCAGGCTGTGCTCGAGGCCGGCGAGGTAGCCGACGGTGGAGGCCGCCCACGTACGCTTGCCCAAGGTCCCGCCGCCGACGGTTTTCGCATCGCTCCGGGGTGTGTATTGGGGTATGATTCCGGGCGGCGATGGGCTTGTGTCTTGGCGGTGCTGCGTCTGTTGGGGACTAGCTTGGGATGGCTGGCTGGCGGGCCTCGAGTTGACGGACGGACACCTGCGAGGGCAGACAGGGTGCGATTCCCACGGAATCCGGCTGCCGGCGGCGATCGCGAGGGCCGCACCTTGATGAAAGCGAGCAAAGGTTGGGAGCGAGCAAAGGTTGGGAGCCCACAAACGAAGAAACGGTCAAACTATGGTCTAGGCAAATTGGTTGGAAGTGAATTGCTGTCTGCTATAGCCGCAGCCACTCCCAGCTGCTCGGTGTGAACAGAGTTCGTACACCGAGCTCCGCAACTCGAGATCCCTCGAGAGTTCACGCGGAGTCGGCTGGGGCTATACCAGACAGACAGAGTGAAT